AATCCAGTTTTTATTCTAGTTTCAACTTCAGCTCCAAATCCAATCAATGTTGTTGTTGTTGTTGCTATTGAAAATGCTAAACTGAAGTACAAAAGGCCAATAAGATCTAGTGAAAGATGTTTTGTAGATGAGGATGAAAGATTTTATGGGATGACTAGTGAAAAAATAAGTACCTTATCAAAGTCTAAGTTTTTTACAACAACCACTAGGAATAGAGCAATTTTAGCAAACAACATTAGAAGTTACAATGATAAGCACATTGTTGGAGCTACAACCAAAAGCAAGATAAAAGGCATGCAAGGTTATAGATTATTTACAAACTTAGAAATATGGAGACAAATCTTAAATATGAGTAATTTTTTACCAAATATATATATTGTTTATTTTATTTCCTTGAATATTACCCTTTATAACTTGATAAATATTATTCAATAGCCTGGATTGATAAGTTAGAAAGTGATAGTAGTTGGGACAAGTAAAGGTAAAATGAAGGTTGTTAAGGATGTAACTGGTACTCAAGTAAGTCAAGTTCTTGCTTCTAAAAGAAATAAAGGGAAACAAAAAATCTAAGAAGTTAATGTTCTTTTCTGTTGACTGTTGCTACTAATTGTTGACGTTAACTATTTTTTTTCTTATTAATGTTGTAAGAACAATTTCTATTTAGCTCTTTATTGGTTGAATGTTTTTTATACTAAATGTTGTGTAAGAACATTTTTTGTTGACATTCATTAGATTGCTTTGTTATAATATAGCCTCTATTATCAGATTGTCTCAGATTACTTTTCAATTGCATATTACAAGTTGAACATATTGCACTCACCCACATTTTTATAGCTAATAACATAAAGCAATAGAATTCACAGCTAACATAATAAGAGTTTTAACCAACATTTACACTCTCTCATAACAACTCTAACCCATAATCAAGCATACAAGTTAAGTTTCTAATTTTTTTCAATTTTTTTTTTTGGCATTGAAAAAAATTACACAAGGCACAAGCGTAAAAAAGAATGAGATAAGCCAAATTATTTTTTAGTTGCCATCTCTATCATGTCGACCACCAATAATTTTATTGCTTTTTTTCAATTTCAACCTCAAAAAACTAACTTCTCTCATCAGCTATATATTCTCTGCAATAACATCACATTCACCAATATTTTCCTTCAACTTTAAAACTTTATATTTCAAACTTTGAACACGACTATATAAACATTTTTCTCTCTTCTTCAGCTCCAAAATAATCTCTTTTACTCTTTCAAAAATTTTAGGATAATGTCATAGATGAAATCTACAAACCATGCCCTACAATCACACCAAAAGAAATATTAGCAAACAAATTCTAACAATCACACCAAAAAAAATCAATAAACTACCAATAAAAACACCAGAGATATACCAACACATTTACAGGATAATATGGGCATTCATAAAATCTTCTACCATGATTGTTATTAGTCCATGAAGTCTACTTAGGTACTTTCATATTACAATAACAAAAAATACGTTCTCTTTCAAAGTTTCATTTTACAGAGTAACTAACTGAAATTAACTTATATATGTTTATATCATGACCCTCCTCTAGAAACCCTGTAATTTTAATATTTTGAAGAACAAATTCAAAGAAAATCAAAGCATTGAAAAATCCAAAATTTATACTAACCTTGAATTTACGCTATTAGATGAACTAATAATTAAAGAAGATATTGTGTTCAAATGTTATTTGAACAAAAAAAATTTTCAATTTACAGTGAAAAATGAGAAGAAATGAAAAGAAAACTTTCTTAGAAATAAGAAAATCTTAAAACTCAAGCTCTCTGACATTATTACAAACAAAAAGGATAAAGAAGAACAAGATAAAAAATGAGAATAAACTTAGAAAAACAGTCAAAATCTTAGCTAGGATGTCATTATACATAGATAAGTTAATTCTATGTCATATTTGTTTGTGATGGTTTTTACACGTGGACAACTTAACGGTGCGTAACATGCACCTCTTATTTTTCATTGAAATAAATCTTACATTATTACAAGTCGATAATATTTGATCCTTATTTATACAAATTAAAACATTTGATCTTGAATTGAGCAATTACCCAAACGTTTGATCCTGATTTGAGCATTTGGCCGAATTATAAATGCAACCGAAGTTTTTAGTCTATACACTTTAACTTTTTTTTTATTTTTTATAAGTAAAATTATTAAAATATCCTTCTTACAAAATTTATGAATAAGTGTGATGAAAACAATTATTATTATAAATTTTAAAATGAATAAAAAAATAACTTTTATTATTTTTATCTTACAAAAAGAATAATATCTTATAAGATTCTAATTGAATTAAAGAAAAAATAGTAAATATAATTTTTTATAAATTTAAATTTTATCATTTTTTAATAAATATTTTTTTCAATTATTAAAACTTTATAATAACTTTAATTAAACTAAACTTTTTAGAGAAGTCTCTCTATATACTTAACATATGGAGTTTTATCAATTAACATATTAGATTTTGACAAAATTATATAATATTTAGTAGTATTACTTATACTGCCTTTTTATTCATAAGCATGCAATGATGGTCAAGATAAATCTCTAACTTCGAGTTAGCTCCAATTTTTCTAACACCCTTCCAGCGGTTCTTAAATTCGTATGAAATTGAGGATATGGCAATGGTGATTTTTCTCTACTTTTTCTATTCATTAAAACATCATCAAAAAGCCTAACAAGCATAAAATCAACATATTCAGGAATGCTACTTAAGCTCATGGTTTAACTTGACATATTATGCTTTCACCGACCAATAACGGCCTAAAGACCTCACTTGCATTTTCAATAAGCAAGTGAATGATTATTTTGATTAAAATTTCAATGTGCCTAATTAGCTCAAAGACACAGATGTCTCTTATGCACCTCTAAAATCAAAATAGTAAAAATAACTTTTTTTATTAATTTTAATATTTATGATTTTTTTTTAATTATAACTTTTTTTATTATACTAATTTATAAATAATTTTAACAAATTTTTTTTAAAATTTTACTTTTTCATTTTCGAAAATGTATTTTCAAATAGTATTATGATTTTTCAAAAATACTTTTTCGAGAAGTGGCATGACTTCTCGAAAACGAGGGATATTTAAAAATTTATAAAAAATATTTAAGTAATTTTATTTATAAAAAATTTTGAAAAAAAATGTAGAGAGAAAAAAGATAATGTGTATTTAGAAAGCCCCAAAATAAAATAATAATTTGTGAAGAGAGAGAGAGGAAATGACATCGTGGTAAAGACACGCCTTTTGGGACTAGGGGTTAGTCATTGCTTGCATGTAGCAACCATAGTTGAAGAGAACTAATCAACTAGCCATAGTGGAAATTAATTTATGAATTATATTATTATTATGGTAAAATAAACATAGTTTTTTTTTTCTCATATAAAATTGAAAAAGAAAGGTAAGAGACTAAGTTCTTTATTTTTGAACGTGAAATATGATGACAAGGTCAATAAGAAAAAAGTTTCCGTCATTGGGGGGATAAATGGAGCTTCTAAATGTACTTTAGCTTCTTTTTTTTTTCACACTTTTTTTAATTTTTTATAAATAATATTATTTAATTATCTTATAATAAATTTTCATATATTTATATTCAATAAATTTTTTAATTTACCTAAATAGATTCTCAAAAAAATTATAAAACTTTCCAAAATTCTATTTTGGAAAGTAAAATTTTAACAAAAATTATGAAAAACAAGAATTTTATTAGAAATTTTTATTAATTAGTGTAATAAAAATTTATTATTGAAAAAAAACATAAATTTTAAAATTAATAAAAAATTTAATTTTACTATTTTGACCTTAAAAAAATAAAATAGTATGAGACCCTAAATAAACTAAAGATAAAATATTAAATATATTTTTTTATAAATTTAAATTTTATTTTTTTAATAAATATTTTTTGTATTGATTATTAAAATTTTATAATAGTTCTAACTAAACTAAATACTTTGGAGAAATATTTTCATCTATTTATTATGATAGATTTCTCTAGTTAACACATTAGATATTGACAAAATTATATAATATTCAATAATATTACTTATGTAACTTTAAAGAGTTTTAGCTTTCAGATGTTAATAAGACTAAATAGTTCTTTTATCATCTTTTGTAATATTAACAAATAAAATGTTTAATTAGAATCTCATAAAATTTTTTTTCTAAAATGAAAATAGTAAAATTATTTTTTTATTAATTTTAAAATTTTTTATTATATCAATTAATAAAAACCTTTAATAAAATCCATATTTTGTAATTTTTCTTTAAGATGTTATAAATTTTCCATTTTTTGTAATTTTTTAGAAAAATATTATAAATTTTCTTTACGAAAATAAATTTTTGAAAAGTTTTATAACTTTTAGAAATTCATTTCCAATAAGTTATAAAACTTACTTAATATAGATACCCGGAAAGTTGTGAAAAAGTAAATAAATAATTTTATTTTAAAAAAATTTGAAAAAAAAAATGTAAAGAAGAAAAAATATGGTACATTTAGAATCCCTCGGCGATAAATTTCTCTCGTCAAATTAAGAAATGTAAACCCATTTCTTGCCCCTGTGGCGTGACATTTGGCTATTTTTTTATAATTTTGAAACGGTAAAAGAATTCCCTTTAAGAATAAACCTTGAGGGTTGAGACAAACACCTGATTAAAAAAAAAAAAAACCCTTCGTTCTTGGGAAATTTCCAGCAACAAAATTCAACCTCTTAAAATTTTTGGAAATACTGAGAGGGCAAAACTCATCATGTACAAGAAATTCATCATATGGTGATTGACATTGTAAAGGAGAGAGAATTTGGAATTCGAAGCCAACTTCCCATATCCTTCTACAATTAAAATCGATCTGAAATCTCAATTCCTTAAACCACTCGCTGCTTCTTCCCCTTTCAAATTCCCCTAACCCTAAATCTCTGTTACAACCACTAGTTTTTATGAACCCGAAAGCAAAAGACATAGAACAAAGGTATCATTCCTTCTGTTTTCAAAGAATCTTCAGCAATACACATTTACTTTTTATGAATGCAAAATTGGACAGTCTTGCTTTCTCATGGGATTGGCCCAATACAGAAAAGCCCAGCTTTAATTGAAAAAGGCAGCTCCTTCCATCAAGTGATCATATATCCCGACACGGAAATCCACCGGCTAACGGAGTAATCTTTAATACAATAATAATTGCTGGGAGGACGCATGTTGTTAAGACTCAAATACCAAAATGTGCTCTGCGGCTCTGCCATCTGCTGGGACTTCTCTCGACAAGAAGAGACAATAAGGCAGCGTAAATTTAGATAATAATCACAAAATGCATTCATATTTGATTAAATATGTCTACATTTAAACTGCGACCGAGTGGGAGCTGTTGCCTCCATTGGAGCTTTGCTTCTCCTCTGATTGGAGTGATCGGCACAATGATTCAAGCATTTCTTTTTGATTCTTTGTCTTCTCTAATTGTTTCTTCAATCGCTCACGCTACTCGAGCAAAGAAAAGAATAAGTGCCAGATACCCTCTCCTTAAAATAGATAATAATACTAAAGAATGAAAGCTTAAAATGACATGTCAACTATACCTCCTCCACAAGTTCTATGAGAGTAACATCTGATTTGTCACATTTGCTCTTCAAGAATACATTTTCCTTCTTGAGTTCCTTGATTGATTTTGCCATCTAACATATACAAAGGGAAAAATTAGTGAATACAGCATGCAACCAGTTACCTTAAAATGGAGCAACAGGAAAAGCCAAAAGATAGTGTTTCAGGAAAATATCTCTCAAATATAAAGGCACATGTATCTCCTCAATCTCTTGCTTAAACGTTTCAAAGACCTCATTGCTCTTTAACAATGCATCCTGCAAAATCAAGTAGAATCTTAAACATCATGAAGATGAGAAGAATGGTTCAAATATCAATGGCACAACAAAAGGACATTGAAATACTAATCAGACTTCAGCATTGCCGCATCTCAGCAGTCTATATGCAGAGGATGAGAGTAGTGCATTCAATGGCAAGGTCCAAGTACATCCAAAGGAAAAACACCTCAAACAAGACAGGTCACTTCCTAAGACACCTAGAAAGGCATTACAAAAGCTTTCCACTGGTATTCTGTAAATGATAGCACTTCAAGTGAACGTTCACTACTTTTCTGTCAACAATAGCACTTAGATTGTAGCCTTCTACTAATTATGATACTATAATTTCAGCAGTATGCAGGTGACAATAAACCTTCCAATTAGAATCAAAGATAGGAGAATAAGACCTCTTCACTGATAGATCCTGCATCCAGCCATCCAGGACAAATGATACAAGCACTCAAATACAGAATATTCTATTCATCAACCTAAATCAGCAAAGTTGCCAATAAACCAAGTTGATAAACATGGAAAGAATCTGACCTGAAACTGTTGAAATTTTTCTCCGTCAGCTGTCAACTGCAAGCGTAAATTCTTTTCAGTCACCAATAACTGTGACACTTGCTCTGCATATACTTTCATCTGCACTTGTTCCTGGATCAATTTCTCTTCGTGTTGCTTAATTTTCAGATCAGCAAGCTGTAGTTCTAGTGTTTTTTGCTTTAGCTGTTTGTCAAATATCCAAAATTTAAGAGTAAGCTCCGAGTCCTTGACAATAGAATTGAGTAGTATTTCAATATCGAAAACCTTAGATATATCAGGGAGTCTAACCTATACCTTCTGTGCATATTGTTGTTCGGAGAGGGCATACTGATCAGCAAGCTGCTTCAAATTATTTCTTAACCTATACATGAAGAATTCCAAAAATTATTGTGTATGATAAAAACATTGGCACTGGTACAATCTGTTAAATCAATGAATGATAGGGGAGAGGGCGACGCTTTCCCAAATGGGCAGAAATTTCAGAAAATTTACTAAAAAAATCCATTATATCCAAGCTCCTAATCTAAGAAAAGCAGGGGCTTAAATTAAAAGATTCTTATCTGGAAAAACCCAAAAGGACCAGAATATGAAACAGACGTAATTTGGTAATTCAAATAACTTTTAGTTACCAAGCTCGATGAGAAAAAATATAATAACTAAGCAAGCATTTTCTGTCTCTTACATCTCATTCTCCTTCAGTTGAGATAGACATTCATCCTTCTGCTCTTCCAGCTTATTGCTCACATCCTATAAGAGGAAAAGAAGATTAAGAAACTAATAGTAAAATATGTAAGAAATGAAAAAAACTATAGTATGGCTTTAAAAATAAAATGTCCAGGAAGTTATCTGAAAGTTGAGGAAACAGTTACATTTCGTACATGCCAAAATTAGAGTTACAAAGAAAACGGAGAGATAGATAGATAGATAGAGAGAGAGAGAGAATCCAAAGAGCAGAAATAGTGCAGAACTAGAATATTATTGTAATTCTATAGTGATATGTAGAATGGAATCATAGAATCATTCATCCAACATGAGATAAAGTTTTCAACTCTTGCTTCAACTAATAGACCTGCAATGCTATCTTGATGAGTGATGACTCTTCATTTTACCATCTATCTGGCTTTTGACACATCATCTCCATTGACCTATGCTACACGTATGTTATTCATGAAAGCCTATCTTTTGGGATCATGCTTAGTGGAAGAGTTGTATCATAAATCTCCTCAGAGATGTAGACATAGGCTATTTAAAACATTAAAGTATCAAAAAGTTTAGCCACTGTTCTTGTGAAGTAACATAGCTAGAGACAGTTGGGTGAGTCAGCATCATGTAAGCCAACTTATCCACCATGATCACTTTCAAAATAAAAAATGTGACATCAAACCTTGATTGCATCTTGGAACCTGGTTGATAAATCTAATCTTAAGTTTTGCCCTTCTGTTGATACCCGTTTGCATTCATCCTGTGAAATCAAGAGCAAGCCATCAGCACCTTCATAAAAGAAAGTCAGACAAATAGATCAAAGGTGGACAAACATAATTTTGTCATGGAAGTTGAAAATTGCACAGATCATGATCAGACATGACAATGGATAATCTCTTTAATATAACAAAATGTAGAATAGACGTTACAAACTGTAAATATAAAGGAAATTTGCTTTGCCTGTTAATTAAATTTATTGTGCAGATCCACCATCAGTTGATCAAGTGCATTCATAGAAAAATCATGGTGTGTATGGTAAATGCTTTTGGAAGAAACCAGAGGTTCACAAAAAGATTATCGCAGCAAACACTACCATAAAGTTTGTAAAAGCAACTTTATAGAGAAAGAGCATTTGAGATCAGAACTATAATTTATTTCATTTTATAGTTGGTTGTGAGAAATTGAGAAAATTCCTGACTTTAGATTGCTGCAAGGTTGCAGCTAGTGCTTTAACACTTAAGATACCTACAATGCGACAAAAATTTGTTGTGCAACTGTGAAATGAAATTTAAACCTTGGTTTTTTATAATGGCTTTCTCAAAACTAAGTAACTATGCTTCCATTAACCTAGTGCGGGGAATCCTATGCTTCTGCATTTTAGTGGCTTCATGCCTCCCCCTCCCACTCTATCAGAAATTTAGTTAAATTGTATCTTTGATGGCTGGGTAAATGACCTAAACCAGAAAAAAGGAAGGATAGGGAAAGGATTCTGGGCCAGTCTTAAGCTCATGACATTATCAGAAGGTCAACATATTAAGTACAAAGTGCATCAAGTACAGATACAAACTGTAGAATGTAATCAATCAAAAAGTTATAAAGTATTCAAAACAAACATACCATTAACATTTTGTTTTGACGTTGTAACTCCCGACAAAGTGATTCAAGTTTATCTCGAACAGCAATAGCTACAAAAGAAGGCAAAAGAAAAAGGTAAAGAAACAAAAATCAATCTTCCATGATGTTAAAGATACATAGAGACATTATAAGATATATCAATATGTCATATCTGTCCCTTAGATATTTATATTATACAAGACTTGCTAAACTCTAATATTCACCTACAGCTTTTAAATTCAGCTGGTCAAATTTTCCAAGGAAATGAACATATCCAGGTAAAGTGAAATCAAAAGACTTTTCTCCTCGTTACAAAAGAAGAAAAGAAGCTGTAACGTTAGCTGCATTTGAATTCATACAAGAATAACTCTTTCAAAGAGAAACAATAAAAAGTTATGTTTGGATAAATATTAGTAAAGAAAAGGAAAGTAAAGAAAAGTTTTTTAGAGGAAAAGAAAGGATACATGTATGTACATTTGGATAGTTCAAATTAATTAAGGAAAGGATAGGAATCATAACAACCATTATTTGGTTAGAGAGTGAAAAGGAAAGGAAAGTATTAATTATAATATTCTTTTCTAATTATAACCTTTTTTTATGAAATAACATATAATATCAACTAAACTTTTTTTGATGAAATATCAAACTAAAATGTCAAATAATGTACAATATTTTTTAATTGTAAAAAACGAAATGTCTTCTAAAAACTTGTAATAAAATGTAGAAATCAAAGATACCAAATTTTTACCCACAGTGCATGTATATATGTTTAAATTAATTTTATGGATATACTACTTGGCTAAACAAATGACAAGGCAAACAATATTGATCATGTAACTTAGGACACCAATTTGATTCTTTTTTAATTGGTACATTAGTTTTTACAATTATATATTGATTTATGTTCTAAAACACTAATATGAAATTAAATAATTTTCATTTTCATTTTTGTTTTTCTGTCAGGGATTTGCTTTATAAGAAGGCAATATCTTGTTTTTTAAATATATATGTTTTAGATTAAGAATTTAAAAAGGATTGTCAGAAGATGACAATAACTAGATTTGAAAATTAATAAAGCTATATTTGAAATATAGAAAAACATAAAGGTATAATAGTCATTTCAAGTTTTAAAAATTTTACTCTTTTCCTTTCCATTCCTTTTCCCCCAATTTGGGGTACTTAAAAAATAAAGGAATGTGAGGGAAAGCAAAGGGGGTTAAGCACCCCTCCCTTTCCTTTATTTATATTTATGTGAAATCCAGACAAAGGAAAAGTAAGGAAAGGTTTCCTCATTTTCTTTCCTTTCCTTTATTTATATTTATGTGAAATCCAGACAAAGGAAAAGTAAGGAAAGGTTTCCTCATTTTCTTTCCTTTCCTTTCTCTCCTAGGCAATCACTAAGCAAGATGGTTATAGTCTTTGGGAGAGATCATAGCAACAGTTTTCTCCAATCACATTCAATGGCAAACTAAAGTGACCAATTGAACCAACTGTTTCTATTTTCATCCTTGAACACTCACATCTTAATTAATTTATTTATTTTTTAAATTTGCAACACCAAACATGCAGACACTGCATGTGTCCCACCTATAGCATTAGGCAGAAATAAAAATCAGTGTTCAAACTTAATGGACAAGTATCATTCTCGCTTCTTAGCAACATAAAAAGTATCTTCACATCAAAATAAAACAGACAATTATGATGGACTGATAAAATTTGAAAGAGTCTTAGTTAATTAAACCAATGTATTCATGACATCACATAATAGTAACCTTTTGGAGATCATAAATGTTATTTCAACTTACCTGCATCTCTCTCTGCAAGAACTTGTTGATATTTCAAAGAGAACTCAAGAAATTCCTTTTCAGATTTGAATGTACGTTTTGCATTCTTGCGTTTGGTTTCAGTGGTTTCCTGAAAATAAACAGTCAAATAAAGAATAGTGAGTTCACTTGTATAGATGAAACTGATATAAAATAAGCATATTAAAATAAGTAAATAACCTCTGAATAAACTGAACTTAACTCAACAGACTGAGTGTCATATTCTTGAAGAAATGAGAATTAGCATGGCTATAAACTATCAAAATTGGAATTTGAGAACTCTTCCAATATATACAGGAATTGAAAAAAATGGAGGTATATACAGACACTTTGAAAAATAATAGATTAACGAAGTGAAACATTCAAAATTCTTAAAACTGCCTATCTCAGGAATCAAACAAGTTTCTTTTTCTCCTTGAAACGAACATTAAAATAATCATCATGAATTGCTATTAAGATTATCATCCAGCCGAAGTATGCGAACTAGTCAAAAATTACTAACAGCCTCTGCATAAAAAGACAGAAAAGATGCTTTTCCGTATAAATAAGCAACAACTATCAGCACTTCTTTTAACCTTAAAAATAACCATTCCTCAACACATGCGTTCTTGATGCTCTCACAGAACCCTACCCACAAGCATAAGAAGTTGAAAGAACTTAGTAAAGTACTATGATCTACTAACTAATTTTTTGTTTTTCGGTGAATCCACACTATCTGATGCGGATGTTTCCTTCAAATTAGTAGAATTAGTTTCTCATCCTCCTTCAACTGCTGCAAAAAACAACAACCAATGAGCAGTAAAAAACCTAAAAACTACCCAAGCTTCAAATGTGAAATTATAAAAAAGAAAAGAATTCAAAGTTAAGAAAATTACATATTTCTGCAGTTTGACTCTCCCCTTTGGCTTCTCCTTTCACCTCACTGCATTCTGGTACCCCAACTTCAACAGCCTCAGGAACAGAATCACTTGACTCATGACCAATTAATTTACCTTCTACAGAGTCCAAAGAACCATCAAAACCATCCCCTTCAGACAATGGCACAGGAAAAGTTCTTTGCTTTTGGTCCTTGCTTGCTCCATAATCAGTGGACACCAAATCATCTTTTTTATTATCAAGCTGCAAAGGCTTTTCTTGTTCCAAAATTGGAGTTTTTGGAGCCAAGGGTTCTGAAGGACTCTCAACAAAGCCATCTGGCAATGAATCCACTTCAGGAAGTTGATTTGCTTCTGGGTTTTCCATTTTCTAACCAAAAAGAAAAAAAAAGTCACTTTAACACTTATTTAACAAAAAAAGAGAGAAACCTAGATAAAAAGAAAATCTGAGTTTTCATTAAAAATTGGTAAAAAAAAAAAAGGGAGCTTCAACTAAGAGAGAGATTACCAGATATGAACACGAACAGAAGAAGCCAAAATCCTTTAAACCTTTGCCGTTTTGATGATCTTTGCCTTTGTTCTTTCACAGTTGCTTTTTTTTTTGGTATGTTGACGCGAAAGTGAGAAGCTGCAAAAGCGAAAAGGATCTGAGTTGCCTCTATGATTTTTCTGTTTGGAAGTCATTCTTTATCGAATTTTTTTAATATATATATATATATCTAAGTACTTCTTTTATATAAGTGTTAAATATAAATATATTATCTACTTAAAAAAATAAAATTATTTTTACACTGAATTTTCATTTCGTCTAGTTATGATTAATTTCGTTAATCAACTTAATAACATGATATTCATAATCAATAAGATGTTAATAGATGTTAAAAAATTATCTTAATATTATATTATCATTTGTCACGTTAACATTAATAAAAATTTTTTAAAAACTTATAATATTTTAAAAAATTATAAAAATTAAAAATATATAAAATATTTTTAAAAATTAAAAATTATTAAAATTCAAAAATATTTCAAAACTTTAATAAATAATTCAAATTTTTTTTAAATAATTCAAAAAATAAAAAATTAATAAAAATAAAATTTTCTTATATTAAAAAATACGAAAAACTTGCAAAAATGAAAATCAAAAATAAATTCTGAAAATTTAAAATTTTCAAAATATCAAATATGCCAAAAAATTATAAAATTTTTTAAAACAATTTTCAAAATAAAAAATAAAAAAAACTTTAAAATTTAATAAAATTGTAACATTAAACAATGAAAATTTTTCATAATTTAAAAAAAAATTATAAATTTTTAAAACTTTTATATTTTTTTGAAAAAATTTATATTTTTATTATTTTCATTTTTTAAATTTTCTTTGAATTTTTTGAATTTTAAGAAAATTTTATATTTATTAAAATTTTCATTTTTTAATTTTTTATAATTTTTCAATTTTTTATTAAAATTTTGTTATTTTTAAAATTTTTAATATTTTCAATTTTCAATTTTTTTAACTTTTTTAAATATTTTATATTTTTAAAAAAAATTTAAATTTTTTAATATTAATGTGACAATTGATGATATGACTGATTTAATATTTTTCACATATATTATTATCTTATTAGATATTCATGTTACGTCAATAAATTCACCGATGATATTATATTCAGATATCAAAATTAGTTAATAGAATGAAAGTTAGAGTATCAATTGAAGAATTTTATTTTTTTTAAGTACTAAATTGATAGAAAATATATAATATAAAGATTACTTTATATTTAATCCTTTCATAAAATATAGTAAAAGATTGTTGCACTTGTTTGATTTTTTAAAAAATAAATAATTTATACTCTTTGTGTTTTTATTGATTTTTGGATAAGATAAAATTAATTATTATTTTTAATAAAATTAAAAAATTAAAAAATTAATTTTAATTTTAATTTTTTCAAAACATATTTTTTAAAGTTTTAATTCACTATAATATTTTAAAAAATCATAGTTGAAATTGAGTTAATTTGATTAAAAAAAAATCAAATATAGTTGTTCTGGAGATTTTTATAATAAAGGTAAATTTACATTAAATTGGTTTCATTATGCATAAATTTTCAAGGTTTTTTCAATAAAAAAGTTTCGAACCTACCCTACTGTCCATCATATGCTTTTCTTTCTTTTTAGACATTATTTAAAATTAAATTTCCTAAATCATTATTAATATTATTTTACATCAAATATAAAACAAAATTCATTATTTAAAATTTTTTCTAAATTATTGTTCATTTTAGTCACACCAACCTTTTTTTTTTTTTTACATGCTTTATCAATGGATTGATAAAATGGAATATTGAGATTAAAAGTATGCAAATTCAAACTCAAAATCCTAGGAGTTCACTTCTTCGTTCTTGCTATATTTATTTCGATGGTTAAAAATTAAAAATCGATGACTATTTTTAAAGTAGACTGTCACCTACTTATTAAGATGTATTTTTTAGTTTCTTTAGAAATGACAATCGCTCAACAAAAATCCAAAATTAATGTGCCAATTTGCAAAGATTTGGTCTAAATGAATAGTAAAATAAATGAAAAAGAATAATTTACACAATAAACAAACATAAATTCAGATATGATTACAAACAAAACTAACAAAAAGAATAGCCACAATTTTAGACTTTGACTTTAAAATTTTAAAAGCGCCAATAAAATCAATTCACACATGCGAGAAACCACAGCTTCACACATGTGGAATACATCCCAAGGAAGCCTTGGCCAATGCACTTGCCAGATGAACTCTACACCTCAAAGGCCTCAACAGATTCCAATGATGACCCCTCTTGCCACCAGCACCGCAACCGTTACCTGCTTCCACCACCTGCAGATCACCGATGGGCACAGGAGGAAACATGGGTGATGGATTTCTTCTACTTTGTCTTTTCTTCATGTCACTTAGGTCCATCTTTGGCGGTATTTTTGCTAACCCTATTAAAACCTTGTATTTTCTTAAAGAAGAACAACTTTGAGACCTAAAATTTTTGGTTGATAAAGATGAATTTGGCTTTGAATTCACTAAATAAAGAGCCCCCAAATCTTTTTTGTTGTTGTTTAATTGCCTGGTTGAAGATAAAGGGAAAAGATACCTTCTTAGATCATCATCATCAAATTCTTGTTGTTTAATGAGTTGACCACAGAAAACGATGTCGTTTTTGCTGTTTAAGGGAGTGTCTTGAATGAAGGGAAACTGGAAAAATTCATGAGAAGGAGAGTTTGGTGAGTGGTGAAAAGAAAGGGATTGATCAAGGTCTTGGTTTTCAAGTGGAAGGTCACAAAAAGAGAGAGTTTCTTCGAGTTCTTCTTGGTTGGCGGTGTAAGTGTTTTTATCCATTTTTTATTTTTTCTTTGATTCTGGGGTATTCTGATTCTGGAGTAAGGAAATGGATTTTCAAGAGAATTGAGATGAGAAAGAAATACGAAAAAGAAAAAAAAGGGAGAAAATTGAATGGTTGGTTTTGTAAAGTTTGATAAGCATATTTTGCTTTATATACCTGTTTGGTTTGGTATGGAGCGCTTCTAGAGGGAGAGGTGGTTAAAAACACGGGACATTGCTTTGAGAGGAGGGCTTCTAGAGGGAGAGGTACTTGAAAATATTGGATGGTAGCTTTGAAAAGGAGTTCTTCTAGAGGGAGAGAGAAAAGCAAATAAACAAAGTAGTAGAAGACTTACTAGAAGAGTAGACAATCAAAGGGGAAAGAATGGACTAGGGAAGTAGGAAAGAAGAAAACGTACATAAAACCGAATTTATCTAGAAAGCTAAATAAAAGTGATCTTTATTTTCCATATTTGATATTGTATTATCTATTGAGAAAATAATTTGACCAACAACTCTTTCTTTTCTGTAAGGGAATAAATACAGACCCAATATTAAGAATTGATTATACTTGATGTCTAGAGTTTTAAAGTTATTTATTTCATAATAATGCATAGAATAATAATAATAGAATTTTCTTTAATTAAAAAAGTAAATATGTATGTGCACCTATTACATAAATGAATCAAAAATCAAATCATTATATTGTTAGAATACTTTTCATCTTTTCTTGCAAAAATTATAGTTTGTTGTATAATTTTAGCCCATGGGCATTCGGCTTAATGTATAAGAATTTTTTTAATAATATTGACAAAGATATTTTTTTTAAATTTATCTAGATTACTGGTAAAAAAAATTTTATCCAAATTTAATCATTTTCGATTGACTTTTAAAAAATATTTTTTTATGTCAATATGATGCATTTAAAATTTTATTTCAAAAATGCTCCAAAAAAAATGAACTTAATTTGAAAAAAAAACGAAAAAAAAAGAAAGAAAAACCTTTACTAAAGCCCAAAGTTGACAAGGAAAAAAACCAAAAAAAAAAAGACTCTTCGAGAATTGAACTAGAAAAAAACTCCACATTTTGATATATCCAATTTAAACATTTGACTGCAATATCTGAATTGGTCTAGAAGACAAAAAGCCGATGTTGTGAATCCCCAGCTGAATTAGGTAATCCAAGATTAGCTTCTCTTGATTAATATCACATGCAAAACTTGGTTCACTTGATATTTAAACTTCAAACCTAAAATTTTGCCGCTCTAAACAAAATTTCCCTTTACATTTCTACTTTTACCAAGAGAAATCTTAAAAGCGTAGGAGTACATTCAATAATTGATCTATAAAATAAGATGGAATTAAAAACTCATAGGTTTTCTTACTCTTACATGTTAGTAAGAAGAGGCAATAACAGATTATCAACCTTTAGTTTCTTTTCTTTTTTAAGTTTTCCTACTCTTCTATGGTCAATCAACAAATTTCTTTTGTTTTCTTCTGAAATTTCTTCGCCGTTAGCGGGCAGATTGTCTTTTTTTTTTTTTTTTGACTTCTTTTGTAGCAAGGAACTTGAAAAATCAATTTTACTGTTATTCACTATAAAATTTAATTTTTTATTCAAATGAAAATACGACGAATATTATACTGTAAAAATGAAAATAGATATAATTTTTTATCTTTTATTTGATACAAAAATAAATATAAATAATATAACATTCACCTCGTACCTATATCTATACCTTACATATATATATTTATATATAAAGAATCAATTTATATAATATAAAACTTTTTAAATTTTACATATTTTTTAACCATTGATTTCAATAAATACAAAAAAATAAGATTAAACCATTTTTTTTATTTTTCTTTCATTCTTTAAATCTATTAAAATCAAATATTAAAAAAATATATAAAACTAAAAAAAAGTTATAATGTAAGTTGATCCTTCGTATTTATATATATTTAGTAAATAAATATTTAATTAATAATATAATTATTACTTTAGATTAATTAGAACTAATATATTTTTATTTAAAATATATATTAATATATATTTATAAAAAGTTACATAAATATATAAATAAAAATAAAAAACTAAAAATATATATTTTTATATATATTTTTTTTAAAAACGAGTACGGAGATTCTTCAAACCCATGAATACTAAAGAAAATGAAAATAAATTTGAAATATCTATTGAATATGAATATAAAATTGGGTATAATATAAAAATTAAAAAATAGTGAATGTTCTATCCGTTCCATACACTACCCATTAACCCATTGACGTCCCTACAAGGAACTGCAGTACTAACAATCGGTTGGCTCTAAATGTAGCAAGATACAATAAGTTTCAGAATTATTAAACACTCTTTCATGGTATTACAATGTTAATAAATAATAACTTGGAATTCGCCAGAACCATAGAAGCATTCCTCCTTCCCCACCCCCGAACCCACAGCAATGTAAGATTAGAGCCAAGTTAGAGAGAAATAATGGCAGCTGCCTTCTCCATTATACTCTTGTAATATTGTGTGAGTGAAGCATTAGCACTGGACCTTTCAAACTGCATGACAAACATTTATGAAGTTCGGAAAATTCACTTCATTATAGTTCTAGAAAATTTAGGTATAATTTAAATGAAGAATGCAAATTTGCAGATACGATTAAACAGATTGATGATCTTTAGGTGAAAATGCCACCCCATCTCTCTTCCTCCGTACAAATTCAATGTTATGCTCCACCTACAACACCATAAAAGAATAAACATTATGGGATTGTTTTTCCTTTTTTCCCTTTCATTTTTCTTTTCAAGGTTGGTTGTGCAAGTCTATTTTTTTTTAGGAATATTCCTTCACCAGCGCACTACATAATGAAACATCTTGCTTCCTATGAATCTTTATTGTTAAGTACACCATAGTGACTTGCCAAAATCATCATAGCATGATTTAAAAGGCTGAATTTTTATTTTATTTTCTGGTAGGAGGGGTATCTAAGATTACTTTCTTATATCCATATCTAGCCCAACACTGATGAAGTACATCTGGTTCAAAAATATACAACTACAAATTTCATAAAATTTGTACCTGGTCAATAAATCGCTTCACCACAAGCCGAAAACTCTCAATTGTTGTCATCTCATGAAACTTCCTTAGGCGGATGAGGGGAATAGTAGCCAGCTCAGGAAAAGTTATGTGATAGCTCCACTGAGCAAAGTGCATTATGAGTAATTCAATGACAGAAGAAACACACTTTTCCTGAAAGTTTCGAGATTTTAACCAATGTTTTGACAACTTCACCATAAACATCCACATTAGTTATAGCAGAAATACATAGATCTTGTGCTCAAGAGACATTTCAATTCATAGTAATAATGATGACCACTATCTAACCTTCACACTTGAAGAGAAGTTGAAATCTTTTCCAGGTTTCTCATTGTCATTGCCAGTTTATATTCCAAATTATCCAAAGCAAATGATGCAACAGGAATGAAAATCCCACTTGCACGAGAAAGGTTGTTCAACCATTGAATGCATCTAAGTCTTAGAGGCAAATATCTCGGTCCAGGAAACAAGATAGCTACTCCACTGATAATCTGAATGATCATGTATAACAATGGCTGAAGATCATAATCTTGTATGTTTACTGCTATAAATGAAAGCCAGATATCAATGCAGTTTGTATAATGCCAACAGCATATCCTTTTGACTGCTTCCTGCTTACAAACAATAACAAACAAGCACCTTCAAAATTTGGCCTAGCCTAATAACATCAAAGTCATAATGACCTACATATAATCATAGGCATCTAATTTAAGAAGCAATGAAGTAACGCCCAATTCAGTCTGATAGAGTTAAATGAGACACCAAAGACATGCGCATCACATACCTACTTCTTTGTTCATAGACCTGTCTGCAGTATCTTAAAAATGGCTCAACGCAAACCATTGCCTTTCTAGATGAGTTTTGCACATCTTGAGAGCATGGATCAATAAAGGAGTTGCGAAGAAATTGTATTCGTTTGGATGAAACTTGATCTACAAATTTGCAATGACCAACAAAGGCCTTGTATGTTTTAATCAAGCATGTGTCAAAGCAATCTAAGCCAAAAACACAGAATCCACATCTTTTATGGCTAGGAAAGAATGTGATGCAACAGTCCCTTCACCTGTTACCCACAAATGAACTGCAATCTGTAATCAATTTAAAGAGTTACGGCTGACCGGGACAAAAAAATTAAGAGTTATTTCTATGGCATGAAGGTTTGAGATGAAAACATAAAAAAGAAAAAAAGAAACAAAAGTAAAACATAGCCATTAACAATAAAGATATGGATACAGCCACATTTTAAGATTCCTCATGTCTTGCATTCTCCTAATTCCCACATATATTACTAATTAATATTTTGGGTTAATAAACATGGAAATACATAACCTTATATACCAACTGAATAGTACAAGCAGTAATATAAGACAATATTAACAGTCCTTTATGACATCCTACAATTACTAGTACTATAAAACTGCCCATAACATGTATCTTGGAAGTAACATATCTCAGAGATTATGATTTCTTGATCAGTCTGTGTAGCAAAGGACGAAAAGCAGCAAAAAATATTATAGAGGCTTTGAGTCGAACCAGGGAGAAGGCAGGTATCTCAGAATCAATAACTTGATTCAAGAAACATAATGTACTTCTCAAATAAGACTTGATCAGTGGCTTCATAGCTTTCCATTTTGAAGTATTATTCAACTCCAAAATGGTCTCCTTTTTGCAACCAGAACATGATATCCCTAACATCCCTCAAAAAATATTATCAGCCTCCTTAAGCATGAAGATGAAAATCTTGGAAAAAAATTTTGCTATCTTAAAGTCCATAGTATGAATCGACATCAAGAGGACCAGATGGTTCAGTTCCATAATGGCATACAGCTCGACACCCACATAATAATCTAGCAAGTACACACATACTATGCTGCTCTCTGACTAGTTGTCACAAAGAATTTAGGGTAGAGCGA